GGAGGAACGGGGTGCCCCCATGGGGGGGGGGGGAGGAGAGAGACAGAGAGAGAGCAGGAGATGGAAACCAGGTCTCCTGGTTTCCTCTGGGAAGGGAGTCGACTAGGACTGAGGGACATATATCCCATAATATGGGAGAAAGCCCACTAAGAGGCCTTGTTCTTATTTCACTTGTCCTGTGCAGAATTTGGATTGCAAATAAATCAAAAATTAAATGGTGCAAGGCATAAACAAGTTGGCGGAGAGGAGAAAATGTGCCATGCCACGAAGATGGGAAGCGGGTTAGGCAGAACTACAACGCCCATCCACCCCTACCATCGGCTAGGCTAAGGACAGCAGGCAGAAGCTACAGACTGAGGGCCTCCAGAGGGTTGCGCATTTCCCAGCCCGGATCCAGAAGGGGCCCCAATCAGTTCCCCCAAAACGAGAGTTTTAACAAACAATGAACCATCGGGTGCCAAATCACAGGCTTCAAAGCGGCTGCCAACCCGAGACGGAGAAACAGGCTGGATACAGAAGCCAGCATCCAAAGCGCCAAGCAGAGCGGGGCGGAGGGTTTCGCCGTAAAAGAAGGAACGACAAACCTTGGGGTCTTGGGTTCGAGTCACAGTCTCACTCAGCAGCTTTGGGGGAACCGCCCAGCGTCAGTTTCTGCTCCCACACCTACTATGGGGGTTGAATATCAAACACCAAGTATTGAGTGCGAGCGGGTGTTTGTGTGCCTGGTGGTGGCTGGAGTTTAAAATGAAGGCCTCTGAAGCTCATTCCAGATGCCTAATCTGCTCCTTTATCATTCCCAGCTCTGGCACAAAACGGCCATCGCGCAACCCCATTGAAGCCAACGGCGGTCGTAAAAACTCCCCAGCGAGATGAGCCAGGCAGAGATCAAGCTGGCGTCTCTTCTGCTCCGTGAGCATTTTGGCGAAATTGTGGAAAAGATCGGGACGCACCTCATCCGGATGGGGGGCCAGCCTTTGCGGATGATCGCCCACGACACGGGGATGTCTCTGGACCAGGTAGAAATTAAGCGTCATTTTAAAAAAGAGGTTACAGGTAGGGGCAGCAGAGCGAGGCTGTTGTGTTAATAATGGGCTGCGTCCCCAAAGAACCAGCACGTTGTTGCAGGTCGGAGGTCGTAAGAGCGGCCGGGCTCCTCTTACGTGGGTTTCTTTAAATATCTGCAACTTACTTTTTAAAAATATCTCAGAGAGGGGAACAGACAAGAGAATGAACTAGGTTTTAACTTGGCAGCAAAATGTGTCTGGCGTTGGCGCCAGGAGCAAAATGTGCGAGAAAAATAGCTTCAGATCTGACAGGTGAGCTAGGAAATCCCTGGTTCCTCAGCGCTGAACTCATTCACTCATCATGTGCCATCAAATTGCCTCCAATTTCTGGTGATCCTTGCAGGGTTTTCAAGGAAGGCGAGACATTTAAGGAGTGGTTTACTAAATCAATCAGCCAACCCCACCTCTCTGGTGAGTTTACAGGACGAAGCAGGGATTCAAACTCCGTTCTTCTGCATCCTAGTCCGTCACTGTATCCACCTCACCCTACTGCCAGTTCACAGTCCAACCTTAAGTAAAATCTTCTCTGGATTCGTCCAAGCCAAGGGTAGCCTCAGTCCTCCAGCCATTTCAGACAGAGAGGTTTTTAAATGGATCGTTGTGTTTTACTGCTTTGAATGTCTTTTGGTGTTGCGGAGGTTTTTAAATGGATCGTTGTGCTTTGAATGTCTTTTGGTGTTGCCTAGGATGTTTTGGATTTTTTTTTAAACTATGTTAGTGGTCTGATTTTTTTTTTTTTAGTATGGTATACTCACTGTTGGGGTCTTTCAGGTTTTTTTTTTTTACTATGTTAGTGGTCTGATTTTTTTTTAGTATGGTATACTCACTGTTGTTCGCTTCACTGTCTTTTAACGATGTAAGCTGCCTTGGGTCCTTTTGAAGGAGTAAGGCGGGGTAAGAAATATTTTAAATAATAAATTGATGTAGGTGAACAGTGCAGTCTTTTTTGCGCGAAAAAGAACGCTGCACTCTGGAGGGGAGAAGGCTCCGTGGAGATCCGCATGCCTGCAGCTCTTTCCTCTGTGCCTGCGCAGGTCCGGAAGGCGCTCTGTGTGTTGATCCAGCACAACATGGTGACCTACCAGCTGCAGAAGCGGGGCCAGGTGGAGTACGAGGCCCAGGGCAGCCGCGTCCTGCTCGTCCTCCGCTACCCCCGGTACATCTACACCGCCAAGACCCTCTACAGCGACACGGGCGAGCTGATCGTGGAGGAGCTGCTGCTGAACGGGCAGCTCACCATGAGCACCGTGGTGAAGAAGGTGGCCGACCGGCTGACGGAGACCATGGAAGGTCAGCCGGCTGAGGGGTTGTGGGGTGGCCAGCACTGGGAAAATGGCCCTCAAGGAGACCCGGGGAGGAAAAATGGAATGTCTTTTTCTTCTTTTCCTTCAGAGGGCAAGACGATGGATTACAGTGAAGTCTCCCAAACCTTTACACGCCTGGCAGACACCCATTTTGTGCAGAGATGCCCCTTAACCTCAGAAGGTCCCGAGGCTTTGGACGTCCCTCCGCCTCCCGCGCCCACGTTGGTGCCAAGCGAGAAGGATATGTACACCATTCCAAAGCTGAACCTCATAGGTAAGGAAACCATGGGGAGATCCTGGGCTGGCCTCACTTCATAGAAGCAAAACCTGGTGCAGTGGGACCCCCTTAACCACAGGATCAGTATCCACGGATTCCCTTCTCCATGGTCTGAAAATGTTAAAAATACTAAAAGAAAAATCCTAGTAATATATATTTCTAAAGGCGAAGTTACCAGTACAGGCCATGAGAGAGAACTGAAGAGCCTGCTGTGTATAGCATTTGCTATCAAAACAGTGTTTGCGATAATCAGCGTTTTTCAGCATCTGGTCTTAGAAGCGATCCCCCGTGGATACCGGGGTTCCTGCTATATTGGGAGGGATTGAAAATAAAGCTGGTAAGTGACCCGAATTCTATCAGTTACACTTGTAGGCATAACTCTGTTGCGGTCAGTTTCAGCATCAGATTGGCATCAGTTAAGAATCTGATTGGGAGACAGTCATGGGATTGATAGCAAATGTTTACACTGACTTCTTACCTTGTAGCAGTAAGATGAATAAAATAATAAATGACACTGGCATGAATACGTAAGAGGATTCCGGCTGATGCTTCAAGCCTGACCTGCTGATTTTACTTTACAGTGTATGTTCTTTTTTTGATTTGTGTTTGATTTTGCTTAATTTTGAGTTTCTACCCACCACTGATGGTTTTGACGGTTTTATGTCTTCGTTATTTTGAGCGTCAGCCTCCAGATTGGCCTTGTAGCCAGACGGGTGGGATAGACAGCGAGCAAATAGATAAATTAAATAAAATCCTTGACGAACATAGCTGGGCAGGTCTGGCTAGCATCTTTCCCTCCTCCGTGCTCTGAGCTGGACAAGGGTCTTAGCCTCTGTCTTCAGGGTCAACCTATTGTGCCTAGAAAAGCTGAGCGCTGGTCTTCTGTCCCGCAGGGAAGGGGAAGAGGAGGAGCTCAGACAATGGTGAAGACGAGGAGGAACACCAGGCGAAGCGGCGAAAGCAAGAGCCCGACAACAAGGAGGTAATCGGGCTAGTCGGCTGCCCTGATGCCGAGAAGGACCACTTGCCAACATTCAGCCCGTCAAATGGTTTTTGCTCTTTAGAGACCGAGCTGTCATGAGGCAAAACACATCTAGGGACCCCTTGCAGGATTTGGGCCAAGGTTGGGGGTGGGGGTGAATGACCCGGCTTGATTTGGTGCAAATGTTTTGGTCTTCTGTGAAAAAAGAGCAGTTACGTGATTTGGGTTTTCTCCCTTACGCACCCAAACAGCTGCGGCCTCCTGCTTTGGTTTGAGGTTTTTTTCCCCCTGAATCTCATGTTCCATATAACTGCACAAGATAGTGTGATGGTCCGTAACGCCTCCTGAAACTAGAAAAGAAAGGCAGCAGGGCTGTCTTTCCCTTTCCCTGATCAGGAACTCAAGGGACAGGGTGTTAAAACCAAACTCTGCAAAACCGGTTTGAATTGGCTTGATGTGCAGAACCTAAACAAGTTCTGCATTTGGATTCTTAATTGCAGAACCCAAATTTTTGTTGTGGTTACACAAGGGAGATGGCGTGGTGCTCATCCTTTTTCTGCTGGGGGTTACCTCGGTACTCAGCCCAACCCTCCTCATTTTCTTCTTCCCCTCCCTCGGCTCTCCAGCTTCCTCCAGACGACGGGATCTACTGGCAGGTCAACCTTGACCGTTTCCACCAGCACTTCCGGGATCAAGCGATTGTCGGCGCCGTGGCAAACAGAATGGATCAGGTCTGTGCCCCATGCTTCTTTGGGAGGTGGTTCCTTCTCCTGACTGCTTCTGCTGCTGCTTCTTTTTTTTTTTCAAACCAGAGAGGCTTAGCTTATCCCAGAAACCCAGAACATCAGCAGGTCTCTGTCTTGGTCGCCTTCAGGGCCTGCACGAACCATCCGAAGGGTGGGAGGAAGGAAAGAATGAAAGTCCCAAATGAGTGGATAGGCCAGTTTTGGAACATTAGGGGTTTTGTTCGTGTTTGATGACTTAGGAAAGCGCTGGGCGGGGTGGGGGAAACGATTTTATAGGGAAGCAGCCTGGAGGCTTCTCGCCCTTCTGTCCATTTTGTATGGACCAGCCAGACCGAGGCATAGAGAACCTCCATAAGAGCATCGCCTCCATGTCTTTATTCTTCCAACCCTGACAGACGAGCAGCGAGATCGTCCGGACAATGCTGCGGATGAGCGAAGTCACCACTTCATCTCACGCGCCGTACACACAGCCCCTGTCCTCCAACGAGGTGAGCCTGCCTGGGGTGAATCTTGAATCCAGGGTTGGTACCTGGAAGAGGGGTGGAGAGAGGGGCCACTGCACTTTGTCCAACAAAGAAGGTCCCCGACGGCTTGTCCGTTGAGCAATGTTTCCCCTCGGTTCCCCTTTCTGAAGAGGCTGCAATTGGGAATGTTTGAGAATGGGCAGCTGAGGTTTGGCAAAGGTCTCCTCAGGGGCACAGGATCTGAGGTCTAGCAAAGCTCCCCCTGCCTCCGCTTCCTAGCAGCATTTGCTGTGGAACTGGTAAAAGCCACATAGAATATTCCCAGATAAAAATGTGCTTGGGAAATGGATTGCAAAGGAAAACTCTCCAGTACCTTAAAACCTGTTTGTTTGTTTTCCCTCCTCCCTCTTTGATTTATGAAGATCTTCCGGTCGCTGCCTGCCGGTTACAACATCTCCAAGCAGATTCTTGACCAGTACCTCACTCTTTTAGCAGATGATCCGGTAAGAAGCTCAGCTTGTGGTTTGCGGTAAGGCTGATGGAAAAAGGTCTCTGGAAGAAAGAGGCCACCCTTTTCCATGTCCTCTCTCCTTCTTGCAAAACCTTTTGTTTCAAAACTGTCCCTTGCTCTTCTTTCCACCCACAGCTGGAATTTGTTGGGAAGTCCGGCGAAAGCGGAGGGGGAATCTTCGTGATCAGTATCCTTTTTTTTTTGGCTCGACTAGAAACGTAACCCATGCTTCTTAAGAGGAACGGGATCTTACTGGAGACCAAGACCATCCATATATTATGAGATTCCCGATGACCTTCTGTGGAGGGGTTCAGGTGGCGATCGCCAGAGCGAAAAAGGGCCAATCAAAGTGTCCAGGGCTCCGCTTTTTTAAGGGGCCTGCATAGCTCCCCGAGGGCTGGGTTCACCAGGCAGGATCAGAAAGGAAAGATCCACCATGGTTCACCATTCTGCCCTGGACCCCAATCCGTCAACCCCAAGGGGGTGTGTGGGGGACTCTCGCTCTGTGGGGAATGAAACTCAGTCTGGTCTGGTACCCAAACACAACCTGTCCTTCCGGTTTTCCTTAACACGGCCCCCAACAGACCTTTATAAAGCCCTGGCGTCTCTGGCCACTGCGACTCTGGAGTCGATCGTTCAGGAACGGTAAGGAGAAACTTGAACAAGCATGTCCTCTGTTTTTCATACAGAAGCAAGCCAGCTTCAGTGGCTACACCAGAGTAAGGGGATGTGGAGCCCTCTAGCCTTCACTGGTCTCCCCACCACCTACATTTCTGGATGCCTAACCAGATATAACATTCTTGGGAGCTAAAACCATGGGGTCTAGAAACTTAAAATAAAAGCATAAGCCAAGATGGTGTGGGGTGTAAATCCAATAAATAAATAACTCTAAGCCAAATCCATTGTTTGAGAGGAACATCACTAAGTTGCAAGGGAGAAATCAATCAAAGTGTTTGCACATGGGACAAAGGATTTCCCTGTTTTACCTTCCTCCCTGATCCAGGTTCGGGTCCCGCTGCGCCCGCATTTTCCGCCTGCTCTTGAGGAAGAAGCATCTGGAGCAGAAACAGATAGAAGATTTTGCCATGATTCCTGCCAAAGAAGCCAAAGAAATGATGTACAAAATGCTGTCAGCGAACATTGTAGCCCTGCAGGTACAAACTTTCCTTTTGTTGCTATTTAAGCTCTGCAAGACCTGAGCTGATGCAGCAAGAGGGATCTTGCATAACACCATCTGCTAAGATGTCCATCAAGATGCTTTCTATTTTCAAACCCAGAAGCAACCAGAAGTCACTCCAAATTTTGAAAACCAGCAAAATTTCCCTCTCCACTTCCTATTTGAGGGAGCTTTTAAAGTTTTCAGATTTACCCCCACTGCATTAATAACGACACCCACAGCCAGTTAAGGATATTACATGGGATGAATCATATGACTTTGAATCCATCGATATAAATTTACTTAGTGGTAAAAACAGGGACGTGGTGGTGCTGTGGGCTAAACCGCAGAAGCCTGTGCTGCAGGGTCAGTTAAGGATATTGCATGGGATGAAGCATATGACTATGAATCCATCAATATAAATTTACTTAGTGGTAAAAAAATTACAAAGGAAGGAAGGCGTTTCTTAAAAATGACACAAAACTTATTTTTCCAAAGGCATCGTCTCTTTGTGGGTGAGAAAAATCAGGTGCGGGAGAGCTTACTTTTAAGATGATGCCCACCCCCTTCAAGTTTCTATAGTCTCTTAGGTTTCATACATAAAGTCTGCCACCCAAGTAATTGGTAGGACTTACCTAACCAATTTTATACACTGGCTAAAATCCTGTTCTGGAGCTCAATGGTGATCATGTGGGACAGA